AGGGTGCTTCACATTTATGATTGCAGCCGCAGGTTGAATGTCTTTTTTGGGCAGCCATATGGAACCCTTAACTACTACTGAGCTTAGTCAACAAGAGATGTGTTGAGTGGGAAGAGCTTAGCCAATCTACACCAGCCTGGGCTGCTGGATCTCAGAGCAATGAGGTCCCAAACTGACTGCACATAATTTCACTTCAACACTTACCCAGCCTTGCATAGTGATTTTTCATTCCTCACCATGCAAGGTGTGCTGTCTTTTGTTTTGCACATATAGAAGGACTGGTTGGTTGGTTGTTTTTTAAAGTTCTGTCCAGTAACAGCTAATCAGTGAATATCTGAAGAGGCAAAAAGGCAGACTGGTGCAGCCACTGTGGAAAACAGTATGGAGTTTCCTCAAAAAATTTAAAATGGAACTTCCATTTGACCCAGTAATCCCACTCCTTAGAATATATCCCAAGAAAACACAAACACCAATCAGAAAGGACATATGTACCCCTGTGTTCATAGCAGCACAATTTATAATAGCTAAGATTTGGAAACAGCCTAAGTGCCCATTAGCAGATGAGTGGATTAGAAAACTGTGGTACATCTACACAATGGAACACTATGCTGCTGTAAAAACGAAGGAGTGAAGGTGAGGGGTGAGAGGGTAAGAGATCAACCCAAGGACTTGTATGCGTGCATATGAGCATAACCAATGGACACACAGTAGGGAGTGAGGGCATGTGCTAGGGGGTGGGAGCGGCCAGGGAGAGGTCAATAGGGGGAAAAGGAGACTCGTGTAATACTTTAAACAAAAAAGAATTTAAACTTTTTTAAAAGAGGCAAAAAGAAAGTGAGATTCCTGACAGGCAGAAATGGCATATAGTTTCACACGGATCAGTCCTTGCACAGCACAATGCCAGGATCATTCTAATCAGCAGTTATGTTTGACCACAAAGTTTAAAATATTTCTGTTTTAACTCAAGGATGACCAGAACAGACTGGTGAGTGGGAAGTGATAATATGTTGCTATCTTTAAAATGTCCTGGTTCTAAACTAAATTACTTATTTTCTTATTCTTTATTATAATTAATATTTAATTTTGTCATGATTTTCATAGAAATTTTTATTTTCTAGTTTTACAATCAAAAACGGAAGGGAAAGTGTCAAATATGCTTTGGGGAAAATGCTTTAAAGTATAATTTTTCAAGATCAGTGAACACACTCCCTTTCCCCTTATTCTGATCTTCTGAATCATAGACAACAAAGCCTTAGCTAATAATTCCAGTCTTCTCAATTTACAAATAAGAAAAAATAATGTACAGATGGATTAAAATGACTTGCTCACGTTCACAGGGGTAATGGCAGTTTCTAGTGCATACCTCTCTTGTTCTAAATCACTAACACTGAATATGTGTTGAAGGAATTCAGAGAGGCAAGAAATTGTTCTAGTGTGGGATCATTGGAGGAAGTAAAACTGAAAAGACGTCACCATTTTTAACCGCTTTTTCACCAGAATAACACATGCTAGTAATAGAAAATTTGGGAAATATTGAAAGTACAAGGAAAGGTGATGGCTGCAAATTATTCATAATCCCATCCCATGAAAGCAGTGCTATTGGTGCTTTCCTGGCATGTTATTTGTTGTTTTCTATCATTGTGATCATATGACTTATCAAGAAACATTATAACTCAAAAGCTAGTCCAGGTTGTAAGAAGTTCTTCATAAGTACCATTTTAATTGCTATATAACAGTCCATTTTTGCCACAACATTCTTAACTTTCCTCCTCTTTTTTAATAATTAGAAGGGAAAGATGTATATGACTAATGGAAAAATATCTGGAAAAGAATATGTAATTAAAACACCAAACACAGATATTTAATCTTTGATATTGTGGGTGATTTTCATTCATTGTTTTTGTGTGTGTTTTTATAGTTTTCAATGCTGGAAAAACACTAACAAGAACACCTACTTTTATTGAGCATTTACCATGTGCTATATGCCACATTTACATTTTCTCATTTAGTCCTCATAACAAGTAACCAAGATCACTATTCTATATCTTCCTTTTAAAGCTAAGGAAAATGAGACCTGGGAAGGTAATAGTACTTGCAGAAGGTTAGTGATGGAGCCAGAATCTGTTCCCAGGTTCATCTGAGGAGAGAAGTGCTATTCTTAACCATAATACTGCATATCCCAAGTTTTTAAGAATACCATTGATATCATAAGAAAGCTATTTTTGAAAATGAAAATGGTTTGCAACAACAGCTCATTTCTGGTATAAGCATTATAACTTACTACCTGTGGAATATTAAAAAACAACCTACCAAAATATCAGGACAACTAAGAAAATCATCAATATATTAAGTCCCCTCAATTCTGTCTAAAATGTTTAAAATTCAAATATGTCTCAGGTTTCTTGAAACTGATTAGAAATAGAAAAAAAGCAGCAGTGTTAATTGTGGTTAGGTGAATGAAGTCTGGATTTTGAGGCTGGCTGAAAATTGATTGTGCTAAAAATAGTCTTCTGTAATTAAATGAAACTGTGCTGTGCACTCTAATTAGTCAGAACTTATTCTAAGTGGTAACAGTAAGGCCTGGTGTGTATCATTAAATGAGAGCCGGGCAGCCCCCCACCCCCTCTGAGCTGAGGTTCCTCTGATGCCCACAGTAGTTTTATTTATGCACCTCCTGCTCGCATTTGAAACTGCAGGAAAGGTGATGCATCTTTTTACAACCCAGATGTGCACATTATAAAATCTTTCTCGTTCCTTCCTTCAAAAGACTTGTAATCGCTTTAAATTCTGGAGAACCTCAATAGGGGAACAAGTAACTGCCTTAAAAAGTACTGGAAGTCATTGGCACTTCACATTACCCACCAGGGGGCTTGGGAAAGTCAGTAAACATTGTAAAATTCACTTGACAGATTTCTGTCAGCAGCTATGAAGACAGGATGAGCCTGCATCTTTGAAAAGCTATTCAAGGCAGACAATGAGGCTCCAAAAAATTTCTCCTAACTCCTTAGTACCTAAGTGTTCAGGTTTCATGGTACTAAAAAGGGAAGGCTAATGTATTTTTATTGTTGTTTTTAAACTTTATTATTGCAAAATTAATGAAAATCAGAAAATTCAGAAAGTATGGAAAAATGTAAAGAAGCAGAGGAAGCATCGCCCATCGTCCCTTCGTTCAAAGAGATTACTCTTAGCAGGGTAGCATATTTCCTTCAAGTAGTTAATCTAGCCATTGCCTTTGTATACCTGAGATCATTCTGTTTGCACAATTTGGTGTTCTACTAAAACCACTCATTGTAAAAGAAATTTTGAATTTTATTCCCAATTTTAACCTGGATGTGACGTGGCCATTCCATGTGCTTCTAGCATCCCAATCATAGATTCTCAAGATGCCTGCTACCCTGAGCCTTCGTTGAAGGGAGGCCCCCACTGAGCACTGTGGTGGGAATGAGTATTCTGGATATGATAAAGGAAGAGAGCAAGACCTACTATTTATTTAGTAGCCTGGGATTAGTCACATTGTGTTTACCTTTAGTCCCTGAACATTTGTATGCAGAAGAAATAAGGTTATATCTATCATTCCAAGCAACTTTGAAGAGTTCCCGCCACAGCACAACCACCCCCAGGCATGAGGGTGGTGTGGAAGGTGAGACTGGGAGGATTCAAAGGCGAAAAGCAGTCTCAAATCAAGTTGATGGTGTGTCAACAAGTCACAGGGCTTAGAATCATAGAAATTGAGATTTGCAACTAGAGTATGACTCTCAGCCCCAGACTCCAGTGATCAGGAAATGTCCATTTCTTTGTTTTCTTTAAAAGACAATAAGGTGGTTTCCAAGCACCTCTCTTGCCACACTGGGAAGGTAACTTTGTCTCAGACACCAAATCTGGGGAAGCATTTGTGCTGCCAGAAAACAAGGATGAGTCTTCACTTTCTTATTTGCTTTGCTACTGCTAACAGCCAACCAAGCCCCAAGTGGCTCCTTAAAATTCAATTTTTTCTCTATTTCCCTGACACATGGGATCAGAGTTCAAGTCAGGCCTCTCCCCCAATCATCTTCTTTGTCATCCCCTTGGAGGTCAGTCTAATTTGCTAGGGAAATACCTAAAAACTAAGCACCAGTCTCTCACTCATCTCAGAACTTACCACCTCTTCTCTCCCCACCCCTGGGAAGTTCCCCTTCCTCTCTTAAGTTCTTTAAGATACTTGCCCCTTTTTCCTCTCCAAGGACATCTAAGCCAACCTGGAACAGATCTTGGAGAAAAATTCTGCCTCCATCCAGAGCACAGATCTCCTCTGAAATAAAAACAGGTTTCCCTTTTGAAAAACGTAAAACAACAACAACAATAACAAAAACTATAAGAAAAAGTGAGGTTTTTTTTAAAAAAAAAATGATCCTTCCATAGAAAAGACCTTGAAGACGACTCAGTAAAGTTCACAAAGCCAGGGTCCTTCATTCTTTAGCATCAAGAGGCCAGGTTTGTCATAAGGTGATAAGCCTGACCTTGGAAGCCAGACTAGGAGTCAAATCCTGTGCAACCCTAGCTTTGTGGCCATAGCCTTCTAGGAGCACATTTCTCCCATCACAGTGCATGGCATAGAGTAGGATCAACTAATGTTACTTTTCTTTGTCCATAGCCAACTGCCTCACCAAGTCACTGCCTACCCAGTCCCAAAGCTGTTGCTCTAGCTCCTAGCCTAGGAGCAACTGGAGGAAAGGCCACCCTTCCTAAAACGTGTGTCTGGTACCCACACTTGAAATTGGTCAAGTAATGGATTTTTTGCTGAATTTGGTCTAAATGATCCAGGACCTTCTGATGATAGCGATTTTCCTGCTGGGGAAAGTCACAGTTCATTCAGTTCAACACTTTGACCTCTGAGGACCCTCCAGAAACTCTTCGACTATGAGTATCATTTTGATCCATAAGGAAAACTGTCTTACTGGAAATAACCAAAACGATCGAGCATGCTCTTAAATCCACCTCTCTTGATTTTTCCTGTCTCCTAGTCAGATACAGAGTTTTGGGATAAGATGCAAGCAGAATGGGAAGAAATGGCCCGGAGGAACTGGATATCCGAGAACCAAGAAGCCCAGAACCAAGTTACAATTTCAGCTAGCGAGAAGGTGACCAATTCTCTTCTTATACATGCTGACAGGTTTTCTCAATCTCTTTGAATCATATAATTATACATTAGTTGGTAATCATTTTGTGGGAAAAAAAATCTAAGAATCAAACAGACAATTTAATATCAATCAGATCTAGGAGAAATTCGGTAGATGAAAGCAATATAATCAAACAATGTGTCAGAGTAGCAAAGCTGGAATGGAATACCCTTATTTTTATCAATATTGATACAGACAGTTTGGCAGTCAACTACAGCTTGGATCCTGACTGCTTGCCTAGCTGACTTTGAGGGCATGTTGGAACAAGACCTGGGCTAGTCCCACAATGCTTTCTGTCAGTCGGTCCCATGAGCCACATAGATGAGCTGACAGAAGTGATATGAATGGGCAGGGGAATGAAGCAGGGCTTAGGACTGTATCTCACAGGTAGTCATTATACAGCTAGCAAAGAAACTCAGTGGAAAAGGTAGCCTTCACACAACCAGGTCAAGTCCCAAGGGGATCCCTCAGAGATATTTCCCTGACAGGAGCTCCAGCAAATGCAAGCGCAGTGGCCAGCCAACCAAATTACCCATGAGGTCCCAGTTGCCCTTGGATTTGTGCTTTTAAAAACAGTTTGGGAGGGGAGGGCTTGAGAAATAAGTTTAAATGCCTTGAAAGATAAAAAGATATGTGGAATTTTCTTATACTGGGGAGGGGAATCAGATATAGTATATGCTTATATTGTGATTTTGGTGGAGGAAGTCTCAATAATATTTAGTTCTGGATAATTTCCATGATAGTCCAATCCAACAAATACTTATTTGTGTCTATTCTGCACTAGCTACTAGGGAAATGATGATTAATAGTCTCTGATCTTAGGGGATTTTCAATCTACATAGTCATTAAAATGTCTTTCTCTTCTTCATATTCTGTGTCCCTCAGTAGGCCAGGCAATCTCATAAAATTGGAACAACCCTCTCATTAAGAATAACTGTCTTTTCTACCAAAAAAAAAAATCAAAACTATGTAAGAAGAAAGAACATTGATACAGAACATCAGACTCTAATTACAGATGCCTCCCATTTCCATCCTTCCCCACCCCCTGACCCCCCGCCTTTGAACTACTACAGTCCTTGAATCTGAGATATGGCTAGGACCCTGAGCCCCACACTCCTGGGACCCAAATCCGCAACACAATTACATAAGCTCAGTGGCTTTTGATAAGGGGTTTGTCTTCCTGAAGGTCTCCATTTGATCTATTTTAAAACCTCAGTGGCATCATCAACAGACTAGCTTAATTATATCTATCAAATTAGAAAGATTTTTATTATAATCCATGTAGCTAACATTGCAATAAATAATGTCTCTCAGGGACTTCTGTTGAGAGTTTAAATTGGGACATACTTTCTCAAGAACAATTCAGCTACACATATCAAGGGCCTCAAGATAGTTCATAGCTTTAGCCTAATAAATCTCTCTAGAAGTCTATCTTAAGGTAATATCAATGCACACAAAGATTTGGGCATGAGGCTTTCACTGTAACTTTATGAAAATAATCTGAAAGACCATCAATATGGGTTTGACTAAGTAAACGTTAATATAAATAATTATAATAACTAAAACGACGTGGGGCTTACACTGTAAAACTGCACTGATAGCATGAGCTTATTTGTTTAATGTATATAGTCATAGAAAAACACTAGAAGATTGTTTGTACATTCTGCATTGTTTAAATTTTTACAATGAAAGAAGATCTATAACTTTAAAACATGCCTTCTCAGTGGGCGATATAGCCAGCAATGGGACATACACTGGTTTGAGGAGTGGGAGGACAAAAGAAATCTTAGATATTACAATGGTTTATAACCCTCAAAAGGGCCAGACTGCATAAACAGATGTACAGTATGCAGTATTAACACTGCAGGGGACTGAGTGTGAGCATGTAGCAAAAATATATGCAAAAACTCAGTATTTTTACAATCTTGGGGAGCAGGGCAGGGGATGGTTAAAACAAAATGAACAAAAAAAAAATCAGAATGAAAACAAACGCCAAAATATTAGCAGTGATCATATTTAGGTTGCGGCATTTGGGGTACATTTTATATTAGTCAATGACAAAAATCTACAAAATCTAAAGTGTATACAATGAAAATGTACATTCATAATAAGAAAAAAACAGTAATTGAAATTTAAATGGTTAATTTTATGTTATGTATATGAAATAAAATTTCACCACAATAAAACATACCTCAATTGGGGGTTGGGGAGATGAGAAGAGATAAACCAAAGAACTTATATATTACTTAGTACATAGCCCATGGACACGGGCAATATGTGGCAAAGACCTGAGCGGGTGGGTAAGAGCTGGGAGGAGGGGGTTAAAGGGGGGAATGGGAGACATCTGTAATACTACCAACAATAAAATATATATATTAAAAATAAATACAATAAAATTTTCAAAAAATAATAAAAGAATTTAATTGCAATTAAACACTTCAATTTAATTTAAATTCTAAAAGAGCTTACTGCATGTGAGAATGAGGAGATAAACCAATGGATCTGTGTTGGCCCTTCTGTGTTGTAGGGCTATTACTTCCACACCGAAAACCCCTTCAAGGACTGGCCGGGGGCATTTGAAGAGGGCTTAAAGAGGCTGAAGGAAGGGGACCTCCCAGTCACCATCCTGTTCATGGAGGCCGCGATTCTTCAGGACCCGGGAGATGCAGAGGTGCCTTTCCCCCTCATCCTGCCAGGCTCAGAGGGGGGCTGCATGCGCTAGTTGAGGGACAGAGGATGACACAGAGGTCTACTGGTGGCATTTTTATCGAGTAATGGTTCCCAAAGGAGTTAGCGTGGCGTAGTGTGATATAAACTGTTTTCGAACCAAATCTGCAATATCTATCTATGGTGCCACAAAAGAAAGGGTGGAGAAAAGAAATGAAAAACTAAAATTGCCTACCTGGAAGCTCGGCAGGCAGGAGTCTGGGTCTGGAGAGACACCTCTCTCCCCATTGGTTTACTCCCTCCACATTTATTGAACACACACTCCGTCCCGGGGCTTGTGCCCCACACTAGGCTCAGACCCCTGAAAGGCCGGAGAAATGGAACAACTGAAAAGATGGGTGAGTGGTCTATCTGGAGGGGCAAGTAAACAAACCAGTGCAGTGTAATAAATGCAAGTGCACAGGAGGCGAGGAGAGCAGACAGCAGACACTGACTCAGCCTTCCCCGCTAAGTGGATCCCAAGCTGAGTTTTCAAGGAGAGCGGATTCATTAAAGACAGCAGGGGAGTGGAGTTGTTGTTTAGAGGAAGTGGTTCTTGGCTGAGCAGAGGGACCTGAAACATCAGGTTAGGGGATGAGAGGGGAGAGAATGGCAGGAGTGGAGGCAAAAAGAGGTAGGCAAGAGATTGAACTTCATCTTGAAAGCCATGGGGAGGGAGCACTAGGAAAAGGCGTGTTAGAAAAACCCCTTTCTCTGAGGTGTGAAGGGTGATTGGAGAGACCACCAAAGAGGCTTCTGCAATCTTATCTTGCTCCACACTTAAACCTGTGAAGGCCTGTCATAGTATAGTGGCAGGTATAAAATCCTTCCTCATAGCTTGTAATTTTCAGGAAACTTTTTATAAGAAATATGCCCAGAGGAATTTGAGACATTTTTAGGACTGGGTATGTCCAGTGCTGAGAAGGCGGTATGGAATAGTGGTTAAGCTTCTCAGACTCTGCCATTCTGTGTGGGTTCAAATACAGCGGTACCTTGAGCTCCACCACTGGTTAGCCATGAGCCATGTGGTCTGGGGCAAGTCATTTAAACCCTCTTAGCTTCCGTTTGCTCATATGTAAAGTGGACATTGCGATTATAATAACCATCTCATTGGGTTTTGCGAGGGTTAAATTCGTTCAGTGTCTGCTACATCAGTATTTAGCCTTTATTACTACTATTGGTTGTACTTCGTGTTGAAAGAACAAGTAAACTGATCACGAAAGCCCCTGGTATCTTGTTAGTCAAAACACCGATAATGAAATGAGATTGAACTGAGAGCTGGCATTCTGAATCAAAATATTAGAATTTTTCAAAAGATATTTTAAAAAGGTGAAGAGAGTTGCCAAAGAATGTACATGCATAACCCATGGACACAGACAACAGAGTGATGAAGGCCAGGGGAGGGGTGGCAGGTACTGGGTGGAACTGGGCAAAGGGGAGGACATCTGTAATAGTGTCGACAACAACAAAAAAGATGTTTGAATCATTGTAGAAGAGAAAATTGTTGCATTAATAGAAAAATACAGGTCAACCTCCCCCACCAAAAAAAATAATGTCACCTTACATTTCTAGATGCCATATGTTCTCATGTCTATTATATCATTTGACATGACAACTTTGGGAGGTTAGAAAAAGTATGCATTATTATCCCAGATTCATTAATGAGAAAATGATGACACTTGGTTACAAATAGGTCCTAGATAATGTATGACCCAAGGTTTCTGAATCTGTGTAGACCCCAATCTAAGATAGTAGACATTCTGTGGACAGTGCAAGTGATGCCCAGAGCCTAGGAAGAAGCCCTCAGAGAAAGACTTCCATCCATCTCTTCTTAAGAAGCATTCTAGGATGTATGGAAGGTGAAATAAAAAATGGATGCTGCTTTGTGTACATTTAAAAGATTAAAAAGAGTCACTGAAATTCTGGGGGGAAATAATTAATATTTTTATGAGTGTGTATGGTATGTGTAATAATAATTCATAATCTTATAGCACTTTAAGATGACTCTATAAGTGTTTTCATATAGATTGTTTTAAAACATTCATAGCATTGGTTCTCAACGGTGGGAGAGTTATGCCCTACCCAAACCTTTTCAAATCCCCAAGACTCAGATACAACCCCAGCAAATTTGAGGACAGTGTGTGTAATGGGAGGTCTTCTTTTATGTGCATTGCTGTTGTAATGGTGTGAGAATTATTGTGCTAATATTAAAAATGTCATTCTAGATATGAAAAACATTATCTGCTTGAAGATATTCCTCATATTATTTACAATAGCAAAGGGTTGAAAACAATCTCAGAGCAATAAAAGAACTGGTTGAGTTAATAATAGTATATCCATTCAACAAAATTTAAATTAAGAACTATAAGTAGGAAGATTTTATAAAAACATGAAAGAAATGCTATGATGCAATATAAAGTGTTAAGTGTAGGCTTTAAAATTATAGGTACATTACATTGCACTTTATATATTTTGTGCATTTTAACAGTAACTATACAGGGTGGGGCAAAAGTAGGTTTATAGTTGTTTACATGGAAAATAATACAATAAATAACAACACAGGAATAAACTGTGTCATGTCCTCAAAACTGTAAACCTCCTGCCCAACCCTATATTAGGGCATTAAACGCCTTGTAAGGGGTTTGGTTTTGTTCTTCCGTAGTTCCTAAATTTCCTGTTGCCCCTTCTGATAACTGCTTGACTTTCGTTTATACAAGTTAATTTTGTACATCTTGAGATTTCTTACTGTCAACTTTATTTAGCTGCATTTCTGGATTATTTTCCTACCTTTTTGCATCACAAATGCATACTTTTGTGTACTTATCTTTTGGTCTTAAAATACCTGATATCTCAGAAACTCAGGGGTTTCCCTGGGTCACAGGAGAGGTTTCTAAGTGTCACAAAAGAATTTGACTGAAGAAATGCATTCGATATTTCCCCTTTTACAAGACTCTCCCACCTGAGACAGGTTGCTCTGCATAGAGGGATCTGTCGGGGGCAAATAAACCAACTACTGCATATGAGTGATTCTGCTTCCTCCTGCAATGTTGACATCAGTTGTTTCTTGTAGGCATGGCAGTTCCTCGGGATAACTCAGGCAGAGAATGAAAACGAGCAAGCAGCTATTGTCGCCCTCCAGAGGTAGTGAAGCTAAGTGCAAAGCCACGGGACTGGTGGACACCTGTTAATGGATTTCCCATTGCTTCAGATTTACCTTTTGACCTTCATAGACATTGCAAAGAATTTGGCCGGAAGAAGTGCTGAGAGGCCCCCTCTGACTTATACAGAGCTGTGAAAAACAGGAACTGATGAGGAAATAATGTTCCTTAAGCTCAATGTTAGGCCATTTACAAATCATTGGCCTTCATTAGCATGAAGGAGTCTATGTCAGAAGCAGTCATAAAATAGACTCACTGAATAAATGGTCCTTTTAATGTCCTATCCTTCCGCAGCATCTGAAAGTTCTCTTCAGAAAAAAAATATACTCAAAATAATCTCAATGCAGTTTTAGCTCTGGTGTCTACAAAGCATCTCCTGAGATATTTTTAGCAACTTGCAAGTTTGAGCCCCTGACTAAAGCTCTAGACTAACTTTGGGAGGGTGTAGCATCGCACCATACTTGATTAGAGCCCCCATTTAAACCCTGGGGGGAAGGACAGCCCCTACCAAATAGACTCCCATTTTCCCTACTCTTTCATATATATATATATATATAATTCTAATGTACAGCCAAGGTTGAGAACCACTGATCTAGGGCTTGCTACTCAGTCTTATCCAGAGACTCCTAGCATCATCATCACCTGAGAGCCTATCAGACCCGCACAGCCTGGGCCCACCGCAGGCCCTCTGTATCAGAGATCCCCAGATGATTCCCATGCACATCAAGGTTTAAACAGCCCTTGCCAGAGGCCATGGAATAGCATGAGGGGAAGCATCGTAGCCTGGGCCTCCCGTAAACCCACACTGACAGTCTGGAAACATGGGATTTCCCTCTCCTTTACACAACGCTGTTCCATCTTTCATCTCTGGATGTCCAGATGTAATTCAAACCAGTTTGCTTTGTGGATAAGGTGCATTTCATACATTGACAGTAGAGCAGCGTGAATGATATCCCCTACTTCTCGTTAGATGGACTACTAATAAATTATGTGCAGGGATTGGCCACATTTTCTATAGCTTTTAAATTATTTATTAAAATCACCAAAACTGGCATGCATCAGGGTGAGTTTTAACTTCCTTAAAAATAAGTGTAGGTCCTCATTTTCATGTAGGTAATGAATGTGATATTCTCCAGGGGCTTCACATAACCTTAGCAGTACCATTTAATTAATAAAGACCTCAGGTTTTCTAAAAAACTGTTCAGACTCTAACTCCGAAAAAAAAAATCTGAAACTGGCTTTTTCCCCCCAATTCCTTCAGGTGCTTAGAATTGCAGCCCAACAACTTGAAAGCTTTGATGGCTTTGGCCGTGAGTTACACGAACACGGGCCATCAGCAGGATGCCTGTGATGCGCTGAAGAATTGGATTAAGCAAAACCCAAAGTACAAATACCTTGTGAAGAGCAAGAAGGGATCGCCAGGCCTCGCCCGGAGGATGTCTAAGTCTCCGGTGGATAGGTATCCACATCATTAAATTACACCCTTCCACACACTTAATCACCATGACGGTAAAGAACGAGCCTGGGGTCCCCAGCACCTGCTCCAGATGGCGTGTAGGACAGCGTCCTGCCAGAAGAGCAGCACTGATTTAAAAGATGGAGCTGAGAGTGGGGCCAACCTCTGGACACGTGATCTACACCGTGGGCAACCACAGATATTTATCTGTGCCATACACTAAAGCCAAATGCTTTGGACATATAATTAACCCAAAATAAATTATAATAAGTAGCCTTGTGCCAAGCTTTGTAAAGCCTGAGAATTAGGTATGGGGGACAACGGAAGCCCTTTCTTCTGCAATTTTTTTTCTATCAGTAATAAACCATGATGTTAAATTCTTTCTCACTGAGGCCTTGGGACACCTAGCCCTAGGTCTGTGGTCAGCAAACCGTGGCTCGTGAGCCACATGCGGCTCTTTGGCCCCTTCAATGTGGCTCTTCCACAAAATACTACGTGCGGGCACGCAAGTACAGTGCAATTGAAACTTTGTGGCCCATGCGCAGAAATCAGTATTTTGTGGAAGAGCCACACTCAAGGGGCCAAAGAGCCGCATGTGGCTCGCGAGCCGTGGTTTGCTGAGCCGCAGTTTGCTGACCACTGCCCTAGGGTTTTCTATTTACAGGGTCAGTGGAACTCTCCTTTCCTAGCACTGTTTGTATCTCTGTACGACAAAGTATGTCATGAAAATCAG